GCCCGCAGCCACAACGTCAGCAACAGCCTGGCCACCTTCAGCACCCGAGTTGGTGGCTTGTTGTGCAGCAGGGGGGTCGGCCATTGCAGCTTCCGTCTCAGGCATGCCGCCAGTACCTGAAGGCTTCACAGAGCCCTCCATTTTGCTGTTTTCGGTTTCTGCCACACGATGATCCTCGGATTGCTTAAGAGGAGGTACCGTGGGGCTCCCCGTTTCAACCTTCGGCTCTTCACCCTTTGTTTCTGCGGGTGACGGAACAGCAGCAGCAGGCTGATTGTCGGTGTTCCGTTCAGGTGGTTCACCGTTGCGTTCACCAGAACCTGGAGAAGGGCCCAGCTGAGATCCCTCCTCCCCGCTGGGATGCAGTGTCGAATGTTGCTGACCATCAGTGATTGGGAGAGGAAAGATTGGCTTCTTTGCAGCCCTCTCTGCCTGCTGAGCAGTATCTTTAATAGCTTCAGCGATTTGCTTTACCTTTTCAGCGTTCATAGCTGCTGCTTCAGCGTACTGAGAAGCTGTCGTCGCTTCTTCCTGGGCCTTCGTCGCCTTCTCCAGCGCCTGCTTTGCACTGTCCGCTGCCTTTTTGGACTCTGGCAGTGCATTCGCGACCTGAGTTTGAGATCTCAGAATTATTTGCTGTTCATTTACTTTGAGTTGTTTTGCATCCGTTGCGGAATCATGTGCACTTTTAGCGCTACTGTGGGCATTGAGAGCGGCTGCCGTTGCTTCATTAGCGATGTCGCGTGCGGCAGTAGCACTCTGATGAGCCTTTTTCGCGTCATCAATAGCCGATGCAGCGTTCTTACCAACTTCCAAAACCTTTTTCTTTGCGTCTGGAAAGGTTTCTGCTATCTCCTTAACTTTCTGCAGCGATGCCTCAACCATAGCCGCTCCTTCACTCGCTGTTTTTGCTGCTTCCAAAGAAATCCCAGCGGCGTTCATACACTTTCCATGCGCACTTTTGGTGTTGCCCACTGCATCCTTGGCTTTCTTAGCCGCATCTGTAATTTTTTGCTCCAATTCAGAATTTGGTTTTAACAGAGCTTCCTTATCAATGGAATTCATTTTCGTATTTAGTTCGTTCAGTGCTTCATAGGCAGCACTCGCTGTCGTATTGGCTTCCGTGGCAGCAGACACAGCTTCCGCGGCTGCCTCCTTGGCTGCAGCAACCTTCGTTCTGACACTCTCCGCTTCATTCCCTGCGGTTTCTGAGAGTCCTACAGCTTCACGCCAAGCAGCCCTCGCATTCTGAGAGCTCATCGATGCCTCCACGGCCTTCACTGCGCCACTCCCGGCGGGACTCATCTGCACTGCCGCTGACAGCACCGCATAGCTGCTGGACAGCACACCACCACTGTGGGGCGCCGCAGGTCTGCCGTATTTCTCCAGCGGCTTCTGCTGGGGCTGCGCAGTCACGCACAAGGCCGTGCAGCACAGAGCAGCGGCCAACACACACACAACGCGGCGCACTGTCGCCATCATTCAATATCGCTTGAGCAGCTGAGGGGTCTGCAGGGAGGAGAAAAGAGAAACGATGCAGAGCAGGCGGTCCCAACACACACACAC